TCCTCTTTCCATTACGTGACGTCAGGGAGACCCAAATGTGGCCCCACAAAGAGTGGAGAACAGCTGAGTTTTGAATCTGGGGCAAAAGTTTACTTTTACTGAAAAAGAGACACAAGAGCGATGTATTAAGTTGACATGTTCATAGAGAAGTATTCTTGGTTTGAATTGTTTTCCGTTTGTTGTCAGATACTCTTTTAGACGTGGAATAAGCTGCGTTGAAAGAAGAGCTTTAGTTACCCTGTCAAGGAGAAGAGATATAAGAGTAAAAATGTGAGGCAGCGTGGTGGAATCAGGCTCTCGTCAATTTTTGGGCATGTAGAGTTATTGGTATCATCTTAAAGCTAGTTCACTTGTCTTTATTTGGATTTAAAAAATATCCATTTATCTTGAATACAAGTCGAGATATTTGCGAAAAAAGGAGGAGGGGTCACTTGTTTTCAGAGGTAAAATTAGTGAGAAAATGGTTGTCAAAGATTAGTTATTTCCTTAACTTCAGAGTCCGTGGTAACTGAAAATTTACATTTGTGTGCCTTTAATCAATGTTTTTTCAGAAAAATCCACACAGAAATGAGTTCTTTAATAAATGGGCATGAAAGGTGTTGAGTCGAAAAACAAAAATTTGATAAAAATTCACAAACCTGCGGAAAAATGCAGGTTTTTTTATTTTGATTATTTTGATGAGAGCCTGATCCCTCCACGCTGCCTCACAAATGTTCAGAATGCTCCAAGGAGTTCTTTCACTCCGGCAAGGATTTGAAAATAGTTAATCTCAACCTTTCGACTTGTAGCCTTATCTAAAAATTTCCTTTCTACTTACAGCGCATATCAAACCTTATGATATGACATAATAATCATGCTTCAAACGGACTACATCATACTCATTCAACGTTAATACTTTTCTGTTGTGCAGACACAACCCTGGAACGAAACAACTTGATGGAAAAAGTGTATCCACGGATTAAGGATTACTGTCGAGAAAAACACGGATTGGAGTTCCAGGTAAGTCTACTTTCAGTTTTGCCTGGCCGTCAATATATATATTCATTCATTCATTCATTCATTCATTCATTCATTCATTCATTCATTCATTCATT